GACGGAGATGAACTTTCTGGTTGTGAGGGAGAGACCGGGATGAAGACTGGGATGGACAACGAGATAGTGAATGAGGGAGGGGAAGGACCGAGACAGGGAGGGAAAGGAGGGGAAGGCTGGATTTGATTTCTTTTTTTAAATTGAGGGTAACTTGGTAATTTTACAAAGCAAAATAAGGGGAGGGGTCAGAAATCTGAGGTGGAGGGGTCAGAAATAGGTAAAAATCAAAAGGGGGTCAAAAGTCCAAAGTGGTTATTGAAAGGGGTCAAAAATCCCAATTTCCCCACAATTTAGGCCAGTTTACTCGATCGCAATCATAATGTTGAAATTTTCTAGAATCGTAATATATTCTTTAAATCGGAATCGAAATCAGATATATGAAGAATTACTAATATACCCCTTTATCGTGCTAATCTTTTTTAAATTACAATAATAATATAATTTAATACTATATTATTGATACTAAATATTTCTTATTATAATCATTTATCTAATATTAATTCATAATAGATCTAATCCAGAGATGAACGAGAAATGATAAAAGTGGCACATTAATTATAATATATATGTAGGGTCCACGAAATAAAGAATGGGAATGAGATTGCTGAGGTTGTAGGAGTATAATGAGATTACACCTTTTCATGTAATGAGATTACAAAGTTTGAGGTGGATCCCACCATTTGATTACATTCACCATGGAAGAGAATTAAAGTTTTCATTACGATTCATTGATTACGATTGCGGGTAAGTAAACGGAACTTTAGTCCTAAGCTCTATTTTGTAAATATTGACCAAAGTTATAAATGTTGATAGAAATGTTAAGTTCTCAATTTCATTAAAATATCGATAAAATATCAATATCGATGAATATTTATGTAAAAGTTAGAAAAATTAAAAAATCGTAAAAAAATATTTAAATTAACAAATAAATATTTTCCTATTTTTAAATTAGTTAAAAATAATTAATATTAATATTATGTATATATTAGTGACATTTTGTTTGATATTTTTCGTATCGATATTTAGAACTATGATATTGACAACAATTTAACTACTTAAACTCTAATATATCATAATTTAGTTTTTTAAAATTTGTGCCTGTCGAAATTTTTTTTATCAAAGTAAAGGGTATTTTTCCTCGTATATATTTTTCCTTTTGTTTAACATGGTTGAAAAAATATATATAGATTCCAATTTAATTTTGATCTGTGAACTTTTTATGATGATTTTGGTACACTAAATAAGTTTAATTTGATAGCATAAAATGAGATATGCTTGCTTTTTAAAAAACTTGTTATTTTAACATTTTGTTGAACATTACCTATTCATTGACTCATCATTTACAGCATTTTTTTTACAGCCTCTCTCTTTTTGCCTTTTTATTCATCTTAGTCACTTCATATTTATTATTTATGTTTCACCCTCCTACATTCAATATGTATATATATACATACTTTTTTTTCTCTGAAAGTTGAAAATCAAAATTTTCATGGTAAAAAAAAAATCAAAATTATTGGTTGATTTCTTTTCCTCTTTTTTCTTTGGACTCAAAATCAAAATATTCGATTCAAAATTTTTTTAAAGTTTAATATGCTAAATTACGAAATCAAAGTCCCAAAAAAGAGTCCTATACAAGGGAAACACAAAAAGTTTCTCAATCGAAAAAAAAGAGAGTTAAAGTTATAGTGATGGCAGATGGAGGAACATTTACACCACGACATAATCATATAAATAATGGTATAAAAAACCCAATCAAATGGAAGTTCCGTTCTCTGTGAAGATCCATTGGTTTCTTTCATTAACTAAAGAAACGTCCGAACAAAAAATATTCCAAATCAACCAAATGGAAGTTCTATTTGGCAGTATCAGTTCATTGCAAACTTCACAAGCCTTACTATTTTTTTTTAATTGTTTTTTTATTACAACACGTGGGGTGAGGATCTAACCATCTAAAGAGCCAACACAGTAAAAAAACATATTTCTGCATTATAGTCAGATTTTGGATTACAACTTCTATTTAAGAACCATCAACTGGAAACTGGCAATTTGGAGGATGGATGATTGAATCCAAATGCTTAATCTGTTTGTCTACGAAGGACTGATTTACTGGGTTCAATCGGACTAAAAATTGGCCAAAAAATGAAGGAATCACCGCAAATAACTAAGAGCAACTTGCAAATGAAAATCCTGATAACCCATACTGTTCAATTTAAAAGATGAAAGCAATTAGAACTTGTAATCCACCTCCTCTATTCTAAAAAATTGAAACAATGATTTGTTGGGGGGCGATCAAAGTCCACGTTGGCCAGACAAGGAGAAGATCATAGGCCTATATGAGTGAGGAACAACATCTTCATTGGTACGAGACATTTTCGATGAAACCAAAAACAAAGTCATGAGAGATTATACATAAAGTGGACAATATCATACAATTGTAGAAACATGGAAGATTTTGTTGTCTCTAAGTTGTATTAGAGTCATGCCCCTAACTTAGTCAAGTTGGAAGAATCTTTAGGTGCCGAATAAAGAAGTGGTGAGCCTCGAAAAATGTAGTCATTGTGTGATCCATACTTGAGCTCTATCGGATAAACAGCGTGCTGTAGAGAAGTAGAGTTGGCCTAGGTTAGAGTTGGATAGATAGATGACTATTTAAAGGGAGGCTTGGTGGTACTTTGTTCAAAGGGAGGATCGTTAAAAATGTGATCAAAATCCTACATTGGCTAGATAAGGGGAAAATCATTAATATATAAGTGAGGGACAATATTTCCATTGGTACGAGACCCTTTTTGAGTGAAACAAAAAACACATACCATCATGAAAATATGGTGGTATCGGCTGTCCCAACATGATTGAGAATTACAATATCTACACATATAAAGGAAGAAAAAGGGGAAAGCTAAGATCAGAAAACATGCCCATTATTGAGTATAAGCTCCCAGGGCAGTGTTGGATTCCTATGAGAAGAAATGTACCTTTATCCTTTGAGATTTGCTCCATCGTGAATGCGCAGTCGGGCCTCGACTCTCCCTGGTATCAGAAGAAGTTCTTCCCTCAAATGCACAGTATAGTATCACTAGACGAAATTTCATTTTCATTCAATTGACTCCTGTGTTTTCAACCTTTCCGGAACTAATTTTTAAAAAGTTTGAAACCATACTAGTTGTGCTTCCAAAAATTTGGTTGTTTTGGATTACACAATCGAATTTCGTTCTTGAAAATAGGCCTGCCCAACAAAGATTTAAATGATCCTTTTTTCTCTTCATAATTGCTTTTCCCTAATCCCCTAACTTCCCATGTCGACTAACTCGTTTCGATGTTTAATGATCACATGAGCTTGTTCGCACTCTCTGTCGCTTCCAGCATGTTATGTCTAAATAGATGAACTTGTATGGTTCCCTATTAAATGATGCATCATGACAGCATCTGCTAGTAAAGGTCGCCTATACATCGATTATCGAGTAATCTTCCTAATCCTACATAATTAATCCTCAAAAATAGGAAAGAAATAAAAATCCTACATACTTCAGTTCAACCAGAAACAAACACCAAGAACAGTTTCTAAGAGTCTATCTCCCCATACCAATCAAACTATTCAAACAAAAAAAAAATTATGACATATAGTTAGCATCAAACGTTCAAAAATATACAAAGTAGCAGGAACAGAAAAAGAAGATGCCAACTCTTTTGCGCCATCAACTGCCAATGATCATAAAAGACTCGCCAATATGGGCAATATAAAAGCAAAAATATTCTGAAAAGAACGGTTCTGAATTTTGAACATGAAATAGATGAAAATAGAAATTTATTCATGAAGGTGTGTTTTGATAAACGGACAACACTTTAGACTCCAGCGAGGAAACATGCTTATCAAGCATTGAAATTACAGCTTCAAATTCAGTCACCTGATGTTCTATATTCTCAATCTGGCTAATATAAGCATCAAAGCCACCACTCTTCGACTTCAGTTGCTCCACGAAAACCCTCATTCCAGAAGCCACGTCCCCAAAACCTTTATACTCTTCTGCCACCCTGAGATTCATTTTCTCCAAAAGTGCCAGCTGATTACTTGATCCCTATATGAGCAAATAACAAACTCACCATTATTCAAGCAATTGAAAGCTGATTCACATCTGCTTAGATTCATCAACTAAAGCAAACCTCAGCTTTCATCATTGTAAAAGATGATAAGAAATTAATAAAACAATTCGGGTTTCGGAAACAATACTGCATGAGTACTAAACGGGTCTTGGAAATTCGAAAAAGGAAGTAGAAGAAGATAATAATGAAGGAGCGAAATTTGGCACTTCCAACTTGCTCCAAACTCCAAATCCAACTATAATCAAAACGAACGTGAAAAACATGGGCGATAAATCTTCCAAACCTCAATAATATTAATGAAAAAACTGAACCAAATAATTTCAAGACACAGCGACCGAAGCGACAAATTCAGCGAAAAAGCAAGATGAAACATGGAGAATTAGGGTTGGAAGATTACAAGAAGGTCCGATTTGATCATTTGGGATACGCTGGTGAAGAATTCGTTGAGCGAGACGGCGAGCTCGTCCCTGTTGGGCAATTGTTCCTCTTTCCCGGCCATGGAATAAGATCACAAACGGCGACACTTACAAAGGATGGAACCTGAAGCCACGAAAGCTTCCTGGAATTATGATCACGCGCCGTCGCCTCGCCGGAACACGGAACTCGATTCGTTCGTATGGTGATTCAAGGAGAGCTGATACTGAAAATCCCGAGCGGCTAAATGATAGATAACAGTGAACAAGAAAAACCAAGGGGAAACCGTTGGTGAAAATCAAAATTAATTACTTTAGGCTAAATATAATGGGCAATTTTGTCTATGACTTTGTTTTCTCGATTTATTATTATTGATTTTTGTTAGTTCAATAGAAATATATTTTAATATGATTTGTTCTCTTAATTTAGACTAGGTTAAAAATATTTCAATTTAAATATTTCATGTTTTTTATTTCAATTTGATTTTAAATGGGTGGACAGTATCACGGACTACATTTCGACATCGTCTCTCTCGATGCTAATAAATGGGAAGGCAAAAGGCCACATTATGCTTAAAGGAGGAATTCGACGAGCCAATCCTTTGTCTCATTATCTCTTTCTAATTTGCTTGAAAGGTTTACCAGCTTGTTTACAAAGAGCTTATGACAAACAAAATTTCAGATTTTTGTATTAAATTTACTCCTCCTTGCCCAAGGCTTTTTTCTTTTTTTTCAATGATAGTCTTGCTTTTTTGCAAAGCAAATATAATTCAACTGCATACTGTCAGGTTGATTTTGAACAGTTATGAGAAAGCATCTAGTCACAAAATCAATTTTGACAAGTCAGCTTTTCCGTCATTATATGCTATATAGATTAGGAACGAAAATTGGTCTCAAATTTGGGTCTCTCATCTGCTCAATCCAGAAACAAGAGTAAAGGTTTTAAGGCGATTAAAGATAGGTTGTGGAGTATAGTCCAAGGTGGGAATAAAGTTTTTTCTCTTGTGGCGGCAAGGATGTGATAATTAAGAGTATAGCACAAGCTAGTCCGACTTATGTCACAAGTTGCTTTCATCTTCCAAAGCTTTTGCTTGGAAATGTCTTGGGCTATGGGTCCAAAAAGATTGAGGGTCTTAACTTTTCGTGATTTAGAGCTTTTCAACAAGGTCCTTCACGTTATATTCACTAACGACCGTCTTTACTTGTGGCTAGAGGTATTAAAGAGATTTATGCTCCCATAATGGATCTTCTTCACATATAAATTAGCTCTTGTTCCTCATATGTTTTTTTGCAAAGTATGGTTTGATGCTGCGAGCGACTGTTAACAAGGTCGAAGAAGGTGATGTGCAATGATTCATCTATTGACTTTTATAAGGATGGTTGGATCCCAATACAATCCATTTTCGCCCCCATCTCTCTGAATTAGAATCCGTGTAGGGGAAGTAAGGGAAATTATTCAAATTCCTATTGAATTGCTGGTGCATGCTATCGAGCAGGATTCTAAATATCGAGTGATATGTCGACATGTCAATGTGTGAGGTGCTTTACCAGTAGACGAGGGGGGAAGTCATTTTTCTCCCTTATCGAGGAAATGTTGACATGTCAACCAAATGTCGACGAAATTTCAACCAAATGTGGATTGATTTTTTTTTTTTTGCCTGAGGCGATTGAGAAAATCTGGATCAAAATGGTGGCCTGAGAGGGAGATCTCTTGCTTTCAAGAGAAAATTTGGATACAACCTCGACAAAAGAAGGATTTCTATTGTAGATCATGTCTTTTTATTTTCTCTGTCGGTGGAATAGCAAAAAAAAAAATTAAAAAATAATAGTCGAAAATTAAACGACATTGGACGTTTTCTATTTTAATTTTTAAGAAATTAAAGTTAAATTCTTATCCTTTTTATTAAAAAAAATACAAACAAAAAAAAGTTATATTAAAATTTAACCATTAAAAAAATCTAACAAAATCTTAAAAAAAACATATTATAAAAAATCGATTTAAAAAAAACAAAATTTAAATTAAATTTAACTAAAATATCTAACAAAATCTTAAAGTAATCTACATAGAAAAAAACAAATTTTAAATTAAATTTAACTTACCAAAATAAAACAGCATTTAAACTCTAATTAGCAAAATAACTACAATGTCAAGAATGGATATAACCCTCGTGACCCCTTAGTGTTGCTTTAACAAAGTTTTATTTTCAGAAGAAAAAAAATGTCAAAATAGTGTAAAAAGAGACGTATCGAATCAGTACTATTTCATTCCTTCCTTATAAGCAATAAGAAAACAAGTGTTAAGTTTCAAATCAGTGAATCCTCCATTCACACCTTAACAAACAAAAATAGCATCAATAAATAAGATTGACCATTGAACAAAAACTCACATTATTTTATTCTTGAGAGAGTTCCAAAGATCAAAACAAACTAATCAATAACAATTTGCAACATTGAAGGTGACCATTAACAATAAACAAAATAGTAGCCACACTAAAACATATATGCCAAACAAAGGTACCAAAAGTTCAGAAGAGGAGGATGATATAATACACAAGGAGTTGGAGAACAGAAGCCAAGTACACTAAACACAACTGCACATTCATCTCATTACTTTTAACTCAAGTCCTTGGCAAACCTTCAATTTGCCATCAAGGAAATGTATCTGGTTCTTGCGACAACCGATGTTTATCGGCTGAAGATGTGACGATCTTGTTCCTAAGCGTCATGATCAGCGAGCAAGCACGATGAATCAGTTTCGGGGTGAGTTCTTTTTGAACAAAGCGTAGGCATCGCTGTATATGGCAATGATGTTGGAGAATACGGCAAGGACCACCATGAAAACGCCAAACACCTTGTCCTTCTTCGTCGCTATATTGTGTGAATCCCTATAAATACCAACAAAAATTCAAAACAACGATATGGACCAAAATCTTAAGTTCAGTAGAGAATCTATATATCTAGGCTTAGCACAAATAAAGAAACTCCCGAGCTAAGACCGAGTAACTTCGACGAGATAACAAATCGGTTAGTTCGGGTAAGGCAGAGAAGTAACTAACTAACCTCAAAGCTACAGAAGCAGGGAATATGAATCCAAGGCAGACAGCAGCAGTTGCACCAGTGAATTGGAAGGCATCCCAGATGCTGGGAATGAAATTTGCTCCCAAGAAAATGAGAGTGATAAGCCCAGAAGTGATCAGCGAGAATCTCCAGTTGTCTTGAACCAAGGGCCGAGCAGACGGAAAGAGGAGGCCATCCAAGTTAATCCTCAAAGGGTAAAAGACGATTGGGAATACGAGCATCAGGTGTGCTGCATAGCTAACACGGACAGCATCATTAAACACGGAACCATAGGGAATGCCGAGGTCAGTATCAAAGTTTGCAAGTACGTCTGAGAGGGTTCCCTCGCCAAAAAGGAGGTAACCAAAAATGCTGGTCATAACGTAAACAGAAGAGCATAGACCAAGCGCGGTTCGTACAACCGCCTTTATCTGTGAAGGATCCTCGAGTTCATTGCTTATGTTGTGAACTGCAGAAAAAATGCCAAAAAATATAAAATGCCACAAACATGCAGGCTGCTACATGTATCAGAAACTTAACTTCTATAGTTTAACAAGATTTGGGTCCATCAAAGTCAATGGATATCGTCAAACAATGTTAAAGCTCGAGGGAAAAGATGTTACTTTCATAAAACTCAGTGAAAACTAATCACATCACTTTTTGGAAACCAATAAAAATGCTGTTCATTGCCTCTAAAACCATAAAACTCTCGCAACGGGTATGAGATACTCAAGTTTTTACAGAAGTCGGAACCAGTCATAGGTAAACCAATGAAAAACCAGGTTAAAATCAATTAGTACAGATTATGACCTGCATTATGTTATATAATCTTTATATCATTTTCATTCGTGGAGATTTATTTAGCCATATTATCAAACAAAATTCCTACTCTGCAAAATCCAAAGCTTACAATGGAAAACCTAACACAGGAGAAGAGAGCAGCTGGCATTACCGTTGTAATGACAGACATATGCAGTAACCACAACGGGGACGGCAGTAAATAGCTTCAAGAACGACGTCACGTCGAAAATCTCAGGGAGCATTCTGGGCATCTCAATGGTTCCGTCTATCAACTTGTAAATTGAAATTCCGACGGTAATGATAAGGAATACTACAGCCAGTGCAACTGATAAGGCAGATGTAAAGCTCAATGAATCTGCAACCAAGAAGGGCCAATTAGAACTCCATAGTACCATAAATATCTAAGGTTAAACAAAAGTTTGGAACATGAATTGGTGGTATTCAGAACACATTGATTAAGGAACATTAGGAAAGAATGGTTATGGTGAGTTAAGCATTTCAGAAAAGTAATTCTACATTGTTGCCAAATATAAGAGTTAAGGAAGTTCTTTTAACCATTATTTTTTTCCGTCCAGGCTAGTTTGTGTGCATATCGACTAATCTTATGAGACAATTACCTGATCCTACTATATTTGGTTGCCAAGATAACTCGTAAGATATTAAATCCTAGAAAGGTGACCACCATGGTTTGAACTCATTCCCTCTAAACCTTTTACTATTTACATTGATCCTTATCGATCACTAGGCCAACACATGATGGTTAAAGTTCTTTTAACCATTTAAAAGCAGTTTCACTTTTGCTTGTTGAAAGCACTCGAAGTCCCAAAGCTGAACAGCCTTTGCTAAATTATACAAAACATGGCTGTCAGATATCTTCAGTAGTTGGATATGTGGATTAATAAAGCAGGGAAAATAATTTTAACCAAATATATTAGAATGCCAGTTTCAGATATCTTTTACAGATAAAAAAAAGTTGGATGTATTCTGAGTCTCTGACACAAGTTGAACATGGTGAAGATTGGTAGCAGAGGCAGTAATTCTTCCCAATGAAAATGAAAGCACTAACCTATTCGCTTAAAGCATCCCAATGGTGCAAAAATACCGAGCGTCGTGACTAGAAGTACGAAGAACCGACCATTCCACCAGTATTGTCCAAACCATCCTTCCAGAATACCGGCATGGTGAGCACCGCCCGTAGACGTTCCAGAGAGCACGTCACCTGGGAGAAATCACACCAAGATTATTCATCTCACCAAACTCCATATGCAAGTATTTCTAGCCAAGAAAGCTACTCATTGCCAAGATAACAGACTATGAGTATCCTGAAATCGGTGTTTTAAAAAGCGCGCCTTGGACACTAGGTGTTTTGAGGGGAGCCTCCCCCACACCTTTGCATTTCAATCCTTCAAATAAATTAAGAAATATCCTCCAAAAGCCCTCATTTCTCTAAACAATTTCTTACAAAAGCTCTAATACTTTAAAGTTCTCATTATCTTTGCATTTGGGATCGTTGTGCTTTAGTATATGCCTGGAGCTTTAAAAGATACTACCTGAAACAAAATCCTAGAGATAGATTCGATGACAAGTTTATAAATTGATCGAAACCCACCTATAATAATCATGTACACTGTAAGAACACCAATGTTATTGACAAGAACACATATCTGCAAAGCCATTTTTCCATATCTCCCAAAAGCATCTCCCATTAAACCTCCATAAGAAGTCGACTTCCGTGGCCGACTAAACCTGAGCAACAGCTCTATTGAAGCGTCAGTAAGGAATGCCATGAAGATGATCATGGCGACTCCTAGACATAGGCCCAACTCTTTCACCATTGCAGGCAAAGCCATGATCCCAGCCCCAATAATTGTAGTGGATAAATTGAACACTGCCCCACTGAAGGAAGCTCCATTGAATTCATGAAACCCAGAACCTTCATCTTGCCTATTTGGTAACAATGGAGATTTCTCATCCACTGCAGCCTTCTTCCTGATCGACCTCCTCTCCTCCCTCGGTGCAAGAGTGTCAATGGTCATCCTTTCAAGAATCTCAAAATTATCTCAACGCAAAAGGGCTGGAAGCTTAAAGAAATCTCAAACGATTTTCCACGATAATTCCAAAGATAACTGCAAGAAACAAACACAAAATTCGGTTTAAATCTAAAATACGTTGTCAAGAGTTAAAGCTTCCGATAGTAACTCAAATCCGACCTGAAATTTTCCAGACTTAACTGTAGAGGATCGTATGCAATCAATGGCTGCCTTTAACTGAAACCACAAGATTCCAAATACCCAGCTCCTAATAATAATTGAAGAAGTATATGTTCTCTAAACGGTCCAAATAACCGTGAAACCACACTTCTGAGGAATGAAATAGAAAACCCAGAAAGAAAATAGGCTTCAGAAACAGAAGGGGAAGAACAAACGAATCTCCAATTTCGCTAGCAACAAGAAAATGAATTGATAGCTAATAATTCAAAGATGTACAATCAAAATATGGGTTCTTAAGATCGAACAAAGGAGATGATCCAGACCCCTTTTATCAGACAAGCCAATCTGAGAAACCCAATTCCCCAACGAAAAACCGGACAGGCCGAGAAACAGCAAATGAAGATTGAAGAACGCAAATGAGGAAAAATACCAAAAAGTCACGTCTCTGGGCCTGTGGGAGAGATAAAATCACACGCAATATCAAGAATTGTGGTACAATTTTGTACGCATACGAAATACGAATTGATTTCCTTTGCAAAAGAAAAAGAAGGAATACGAATTGACTTAGAGGCAGAGCATAGAGCTGGGAATCTTGATGGGTCGGAAGATTACTGCAATTTTTGGGCGGTAGACGGGATCGTAAATTCAGTTGAATTTCCCCTCCAAATAATATAGAAAAGGATAAGGAATGGCGATGATTGGGAAGAGGAAATCGGCTACCACAAGCGTCTCGTCTATGCTAAAGAAATCCCCACACCACACCACTTGATAATGCATATGATCCAAGCTTGAATGGTAAATTAAATGAGAAAACTCTGTTTGCGAATTTCTATAATGATCCGAGAAAAGTTGTCGTTTTTCAAAATTTGTATATAGTTCATGTACTCTCTTCTTTTTTTTTTTTTTTTGCCACTCTATTTCTAGAAAAAGTCGGTCTTTTTAATCAGTAAATAAGTAGTTTAATTATGCTATCATTATCAATTTTAACCATCATATTTAAAAATATAAGTAATATACCTATGAAAATATTGTCCCGATGAAAATATGGAAACAAAATCATGTACACATACATAAAAAAATATTTTGATTAGTAAATTAAAGTTTAATATTGTTTGATTACTGATAATTTCTAATTCAATTTCGTCTTTAGTTACATAATTGAACATTGAATGTGAAATATAGATATATATAAAGGATAAAATAATCTTATAAAAAGTTACATGTTTTGAGGTGTTCCATAATGTTAATTGTCAACATTTTATCGACGTGTCGACTTGCGTTGACAATTAACCTGTCACACGAGGGGGACAAAGATTTTCTTCCGTTTGTCGATGTCGACCCCGACACGTCGACATGTTGCTGTCCCTTGATCCCAAATAATTTGATTCAATGTTTTTATTCCAGTGATGAAGGTTGTTTCTTGAAAGTTAGAAGTTCAACATATCATTAAGAGGTTCAACTCATCATCTCTATATATATATATTTTTTAAACACTGTATTTGTTATACTAAAAAAAAAATGTAATTTAATTCACGCTATTGTACCATGTAAGCTTTGATCGATGAAAGCAAACCATGAACGATTATAAGTGGACCGAGACAATTTCTTAATGACGGTAAAGTTTTACATTCTAAACCATTTTTACACATAAATTTTCAATTAGGGAGCAATAAATTAAAGAATAAACCTTAAAATTTCAGTTTGTTTTTTTTTATGGTTCTTTTAATTTAAGATGACTAAGAGGCCAAATTTTTCTTTGCTCCACCCTTTCCAACTTTTAAGATTTTCAATTTAATCCGTTAATTGCATAAAATCTAAAAACTATAATATTTACCTTAAAGAAAAATATTTTAAATTCATTAACATAGCTCAAAAATAAATGATATATATCTACAATTAAGAGGTTATGCGTTCGATCTCTCATCCCCACATGTTGTTCTAAAAAGGATTAGAACATAACAACAACGAGAGGTGTATGAGAGTTTGAATCTCCAACCTAAAAGAAAAAAGTAGGTACTAAGTACTGTTGAACTATGTTCATGTTAGATTAATGCCAACTCTTGTAATCTATCATTTTATATTCTTATAAATAGTGGGTTATCCTAATAAAGTATTTGTATTCAATAATATCCGATACAAATTGAATAATGGAATCATATTATCTCTCTACTCTCTTCTTCTATATTAATATTATTGTAGTTATTGAATTAATGTTGAATTATAGTTTTTAAATTTTAGAGAATTACAAATTTTGGGTTAACGGCTTAATTATAAGATGATAACTTAGTAGATGAGACACATATTATTCCAAAATCGATGATTTGATCTCACTCTGTAATTGTTGAACTAAAAAACATCTCTATTGGTTATGGGTGAAATTTTGCTTAAGTAATTATGTTGACGATTGATCAATGCTCATAGGCATATGATTGATTTATAGTGAACTTTTATAGTTTTCTTAGTACAACCGATGTGAGATTGATTGAACTTCTGACCTAAAGAAGAAGTAAGATTGCTGTTAAATTTGCACATGTGGGTGCAATTTTATAATTAAACAGATGGGTTATGCAATTTTTCTTTTTAAAATCACTTTATTTTAAGAAAGAAATTGATAAATGTTGATATAATTATTGCATGAAGAACCATCCCTATTATTATTATTATTAAAACAAAAAAAGTGAGGAACAATCGCTATGATTGACTCGAAGGAAAATGCCATATGCCAATATTTTAGTTAATAAATTTTGTTTTATTCACATTTTTTTTTTCACGTAATTATAGATGACAAGGAAATATATATCTTTTTCTGTTTTTGGCTTATTATTATTATTATTATTTTGTTTTTGTTCTATTTTTTTATTTATTTTATAAGGAAGAGATACCATGTTATAACAATAACATTTTTGACAATGAAGACGTGGGACATTTGGTCGGTTTAATAACAAGGGGCTTGGTAAGATTCTCGTTACAAACATAAATATTTATTTTATCTATTGTTTTTTTTCCCTCTCAAATTCTAAATTTTTACATGAAAAATAATTTTAAAATAAAATATTCAAAATTATATTGTCATATTTATTGTTTGAGAAGAATGTTTAAACACTACTAACAAACCACGATTGTTGCTCGGATATATTATTATTATTTTTGAATGCTGATATGTCATATATATTATTTATTCTATCATGTGGCATTTAAAATGAAGAAAATAAGGTTGATGATGTGTAGATTTCGGTCCTCCCGTTCTCTTCCTCGCACACACCTAACTCGATAATTCGAGGGTTGATACCTACAAAACCAAATCGATTTAAACCGGTGTGACCTTAGTCACACGGGCTCCGATGCCTAAGTTAGTAAGGGAAAGTTGAGAAAGCAGTGAACTAACTAGAGATGTTTACTTGCCCCTTCAGGGTTGGACCTCACTGTTATTTATAGCCGTGAAGATGATTCCAGAACCTTTCGTAGCTAAACTCTAATTCAGAGTTGCAGGGCCTGAGGGGAATCGTTGATCACAGGTAGGAGATTCACAGGCTGAGCCGTGGGTCGAGCCCGGCTCTAGGCCGAACAAATGTGGTGCTTTCAATCTCCACAAATCAAATTCCCACAAATCTCTTAATTTCCTCGATCACTCTCAATCTCCACTAATTTCTCCACTCTCCATTAATCTTCTTTATTCTTTTACTTTATCATTCACCTTAATCTACACCACACATTATTTGTTGCTCTAAATCTAATGATCAAGATTCATCTTCAAAACTCTATTTAAAGCCACCAAATTCATCATTCTCCACACTAATTATCCAAGCAAAAGCTACATTTCTCTCTACAATTATTTTGTTCTCAAATTTTCATACTCTCCACACAAAAAGTTGTTCATATTCTTTTTTAGAGATACATTATAGTGTAGCTTTTTAGCTATTGCTTTAGTGCGAAATTTGTAAATCCACCTTAGTGAAGTATTTTCTTGTATTGCTTATTTACATACCATTTGAGTTTTTGTATTAAGGTGTGGGTACACCTTAAGTTGTGAGACAACAAAATTGGTTGGATCCTAACTAGTAAAAAGGATTATGGGTTTCTCTATAACCTAGGACAAAAGGAGGATCTATCGATTTGATTCTCACCCGTAAGAGAGCCGACGCAGTAAAATACCCAAGAATGAATCTCGGTGAAGCACCCCACCCACATTACAACTTTAACAAAATTTATAAGAAATATTTTTAAAGGGGAAAAACTAAACTGCAGTAGAAAAATATACATAAAAGTAGTGGAAACTCAGCACACTTACAGCCATAAACTCCTAATGAGCACAAAAGATCTTCCAATGCTATAACTCTGTCCTACAGTTCTTTCAACTCTTCGTCTAAGCAGTTTGTCCGTTCACGCTCTTCCTTTGCAATCTTTTCCAGGTACGCACATTGTTCATCTTTCTTCTTTCATTCGTAATCGGCTTTGCATCAACTACAAAAATGTCTTTTTTCTCGTTGTCCAACCCAACCCTCGTAAAATCTTCAAAGGTATTTTTCCTGTGATGATAGTGTAGGAATGCTTATTTTACGGGTAGCCTCGTCAGACAATTTCTTTACATTATTAGATATATGAGAAGAAGAGAAATGAGGAATTGATATTTGCATATATATGTTATACACATAAGATGATGAAGAGTTATGAACTCAAAAGATCCATTGAATATGTTTTGGTGAATATTAAATGAGAGTAATGCGGTGAGCAAAACCAAACTATAGTTTTTTAAATTTAAGAATCAAATAGAAATCTATCTTTAAATTTGGGAGTCCAAAAGCGTATTTTATTAAAAAAAAAAAAAAATCTCTCCACTCCTCTCCCTCTCTCCTCCCCCCTCTCTCCTCCCCCGAATAAGAGAAATGAAAAACCATACCATTGAGTAAGGAAAATTTTGAATTTTATGAGAGTATCATACTTTATTTGTTCACGTTATGATTTTGCTTTTATAATTTTTTTTAATATTGATTGATCCCACATTATTTCTAATACAATGTCGACGTGTTATGCAGTGAATGAAAGGAGCTCCTATAGTATCATAAATTTTCCCATCATAAAAGAGGCTCAAACTCTGGGAGTCACATGTATTTTGACTAGGCTCGTTAATTCAAGGGAATGGAATCAAAGAATAATTTTAATTTGTTTTGAGGTGTTTAGTGAGAATGAAATCAAATGACAAGCCTCATGAATTTAATTATAATTACTTATTTCATAGTCCCACTCATTTGTTTTAATAATTACTTTACAATTTTTAGCTTTTCTCTTCCCTGTATTAAAAAGATTCATAATCAACTGTTTTACGATTTAATAAATTTAGTGTCACATCCCCATGTCCGAACCATATATATTTTGAAATTTAAACTATAATACGAAGAATCTACCTTGACAAAAAATCATTCAACGCAATTAACTAGATACAAATTTGAAAATATTTATGTTGTCTAACGACACTTCGAAATATATATAAGAGTTTTTCTATGAAACTATTACCTGAGCATTCAATAGTTTCTCGATCTATCTTCTAAAAAAAGAAAAATTCTCACTCTAAATTTCAATATCTCCTTTATTTGCAACATAATATTTTAGAATAGTGACTACCAAAATTAAAAGCGTAAGAACTCACGTGGTTATTTATAATTTAGAATTACACACGTCACAACCAATCGTTTTTTTTTTAATTTTTTTTTTTCCAAACATGACTGCACAAGCACAACCAATCATTACATATAAATGCTCGTCAATAGTTAAAATTGGTAATTCATGACAACTTTTTTTATGGTTGATTATTTATTTTAATTTTATAATTTCATTTACAAGCCCCGCAACTGAGCCCGAACAAACTACACGTGTCACCGTATGATAGGCTCTCTGAAGAATGTCATTCCCACAAAGCCACGTGGACATGACCTGTCCCCCAAAAAAATGATCAATTAATTTTCACCATTTAAAAGTTCGTAAATCTAATTTGTTATCTCCTTTTTTTTACCTTCTGTTAATCCAGTCTGGCTTCTCCATTTTGCAAACATTTCCCAAATTTTTTTTGTTTTCTTTTTCTTCTTCTTAGTTCTTACCATTGAAAAAACTCGGGTTTCACAGAGGTACTGGTCTGTTAATTTGCGTTTTATTTTGTTTTTCCCATTCATTTCCAGTTTCTTGCATCTGATCTTTAATGCTTCTGATATTTTTTTTTTTGAAAGTGACTGAAATGATATGTTATGCTTTTGATGTTTCCTGTGCTTTCTTAATGCTCATGGGGTGATGTTTCCCGACGGTATTGGCTTTATTAGAGGGAACTTTTGCGAGAAATTATGATCTGGGTCGTTAGAGATTTGACGGTGGTAGATGGGTTTTGACGAGAAATTAGATGAGAAATCTGAATTTGGTTGATACTGGTTGGGGTTCAGTCTGTGTACATTGAAAGATTATATATGAACATTTAATGGGTTCTCTTGGGGATTTTGGTGATTCTTTGCAGATTAATGTCGTGGGTCGTTATCTATAGTTAAAAATTAGACTTCCTTACTAACAGAGGAAAAATAAGAGTTGGAATTAGAATTGTGTTCAAACTGTTTGTTTCTAAGGTAGTTTTGGGAAGACTTATTTTATTCTTTAAGTGCACAAACACATACACGCACACAATCATTGAGAAGAACAAGATTAGGTAGAATGGATTATTGTCTTCCATCTTCAAGTAAGTTGGAAAGAACTGTGGATAAACCCCCTTTTGAGGTGGCCATGGAATATTAGAGCGCTTGTAATAAAGGAGTGTCTTTAAAATTAATTTTGAGATGGCTTACAATCTTGTTGATTGGATTTATTAAGGTCTTGTAGAAAAAGGGCTTTGGCCTTTGGGGTTTAAATGTCATGGGTTGGGAATTGTTTGCAGTTGGTGAATTTTTGCATTTTGGTTAATGGTAAGTCTTATGGGCAAATTTTTTGCTTCAAAAGGTATTTGGGAAATGATGCCTCGTCTTCATTCTTACTGGTGGTTGTGGACATTCTTACTGGGCTAGTGTCTATAGGGGTGGATAGAATCTTAATGTAAGATTTTAGTTAGGGAGTGACAAAGTTCACCTCACTCACACCTAATTTTTTCGATGACATTATTTTCTTTTCTTTTGGGAGGGAGAACTATTTTGTTAATCTGAAGAGGTTTTTCTACTCTTTGCATCCAACCCCAATCTTTGAACTAAGAGGAGGAATTGTTCAGGGTTGTTGTTTTTGTTTTTGTTTTTGTTAGAATGATGTGGTGGAAAAGGGAAAGGGCTCAGATCTTTGGCCATGAAATGAAACTTTATTTTTGTATCTTTTTTTGGTTTGTTATATGTGCTATATGGAATCCTATTCATTTTATTTTCTTTGTTTAAGATTCCTTCCTCTATCAGTAAAGGTTTTGGGAAATCATAATGCAATTTTGTGGAAAAGGGTTGAGGAGGGGTGGTTTCCATTTGGTGAATAGAGAAGTTATTTCTATGATTTATGGGAAGGAGGGTTGGAGATTTGGTATCTAACACCTTAAAATTCTGGTCTCTTGGCTAAGAGGTTAGTGCATTTACTTCAAAAGCCTAATAATTTATGGCGTAAGACTGTAGAGCTAAGTATGGATGTCATGTCACTCTCTCGGTGGTACTATCATGGTGACTAAGGGCATTTCTTGGACGCCACTGAAAGCAATTATGCTCACACACCTTGATTTTCCAGTTTCATAAAAATTTCCATTGGGAGGTCTTGCATTCAATTTTGCGAGGATCATTGTATTAGTAATTGCCCCTTTATGTTATTATTTTCGTTGTCTCTCTTAACCTTTCTTTGTTAAAAGTTGCATCCCTTTCTTCTATTCTTTCTTCAAGGAGCTGTTTTGTTATAATCTTGAGAGGGCTTGTAGGAGCTCCAATCTAACAAAATAAGACTAATTACAAAAATCCTTGAGCATCGAAGCCCAAAGAGGGACATGAAACTTAGCAAGGGACTTAACCTTCCCAAAAACCTTTCAACCCCTCCGAAGAAACTTAGCGAGGGACTAAACCTTCCCAAAAACCTGTCAACCCCTCCGAAAATGTTAGAGTCACTTTCGATCCAAAGACTCTTGTAAGAGCTCCAATCTAACAAAATTGCCCCCTTCTCGTTATTATTTTCGTTGTTCTATAACCTTTCTTTGTTAAAAAGCTGATCCAAAGATGCTATGAAGTAGCACAAAAGACACCGTGCCAAAGAAAACCATATCACCAAAGGGCAAAAGACGAGAATCTCCTCCAACAACAAACTACAATCTCTGGGCCAAGCCAGGCAAAAACCAAACTTCTAAAAAAAAGAGTTCCAAACTGAAGAAGCGAAATGGCAGCTTCATAGGAGATGATTCTCTTTTTAGAATCAGAATTTTCTCTTGGTCAGTTGCTAATGGGAGCATCAGCACCATTGGATTTGTACAAAGGTCCTAATATATGGTTCAGGTCTTCATAACTTTTCTGTACGAATGTTTTTTTCCATAGTTTTATAGGACTTTGGGAGCTTCAACACCCTTCGATAATGTTTTTGTTATGGAGCTTGGTTGGTATAAATTTTTTTTCTTTGCTTTCAAAGGGTACAACTTAAACGGTCTTCTGAAAAATAAGAAGGTCTTTTTGTAACTCAGTTGTTTGAGAGCTTCTCTTCTCTTGTATATTTCATTTTATTCATTTAATATCTGTTTTTACCCTTTTTTTTTATTATTTTAAAAAAATAGTTTTATGTATGAATGAGTGGAGTTGGGTTACATTGATTGGAGACATCATTTTGCCATGATGGTTTGGAATATATTTTAGGATACTTTTGGAATGAATTTGACCTCAAGCAGGAGATGCCATATTATGATGGAAGGATGTTTTTACATTATCTTGCTGCGATATAGGAAAAATCTTTGACAGTCTTAATTATTTTATATGCAATTGGAGAAGTTTTTTGTAACTTCATTTGGATAGGCTTTTCTTTTTTTTTTTTTTTTTGTATTTCATGCCATCGATGAAATTTGTTTCCTATCCAACAAAAAAAAAAGAACTAGGAGTGCTTTTTATGTTTCAGTAATCACTTATTTTTCTTGTTCAACTGATGAGGTACTCTTATTGGCATGTTGCTGCACCAAAATGGGTGAGTCAATGATGGTTTCTTTATTACTATTCTGACCTATTAAGTTTTTATTTTGAAGAAGAAACAACTTTTACTGATATATGAAAAAGAAAATTGTTCAGGATACAAGGAGTGAAAGAAAAAGAGAAAACAAAAGTCGAAAATGACTATGCTATCGGTTAAGTGCCTGAATGCTTTTAGAATTAGTACATTTAGCAAACATACTTTAATTATAAGCACTTCACTAAATAGTGTTCGATAATGAATTATTTTGGTGTTTGGTTCCACATTCTTTCAAGTGATTGAGTACTTTTTGATCAAGCACTTCAATTAAAAGTATATTAAAAGAGCTTTCTTACAAAGTACTTTGGGTTGCTCTTAACTTTTCCCAAAGCAATTTATATTACTTCCAAACATAAAAATAGGAAGGAAAGTGCTTTTGGCCATAGCTTTTTAGTTTATATTGCAAGGTCTTTATTGTGCCCATGAATTTTGTTGAGCTGTTCAGTTCCTTTGACCATTTAGTTGGGTCGCTGTCTAGTTTTCTCTCTCTCTCTCTCTTTTTTTTTAATTTAAATTTTTAGTTTGCTTTGTTAGTCTTTCCCTTGTAAGTTGTTAGCTACTTTTTTGCTAAGAAGCACAGACACCTCAGTTTGGGTAACGTGTTCGGGTTGGACACTCTGACACTTATCAGATATGTATCATACATTTGTTAATCCAATAAATGTGTCACATACTAGATGTACAAAGTGAATATGGACTCGGTGCTTGTTAAGCACAAATCAAATGTTGATAAGCATAAGACATGAATATAAGTAGTAATATAGGACAAAGTAATAAATTTTGAGAGCAAAATTCTTCAAACTCATTTTTTTAGCATAAAAATGAATAGGCTTATTGACATTGAGTTTCCTTCTTGTATCAAAATGATATATACTTAAAAAATTGTTGTTTTTAATAAATGTGTTCTTAACCATCATGAGTTGGTTCTGTCGACTCTTTTTCACATCACTCTCCTTCTATGATTTATGCTAATTGGGGAGCTTTTATTAATTCTGTGTAATTCTGTTATTTACATTTTTTATTTTTCTTTTTTCACTCTTTCGGGAGTTTGTATCCTTGAACACTTGTATTATCTTTTCATTATTTCAATGAGAAGTTGTATCTTTATTCAAAAACCATCATGAGTTGGTTCATTGGTCCAAAGGGGCAAAGGTAAATCAAAAAAAGATTTAGAGAGAATGAGTTCAAACCTAATGATGGCCACCTACCTAGGAATTAATTTTCTATGTATTTCTTTGGCAACCAAATGTAGTAGGGTTAGACGGTTGTCTCTTTAGATTAGTCAAGGTGTGCGCAAGTTGGCCCGAACACTAAAAAAAAAGTGTTCTTGTTGTGTTGGTGACCTAAATTTTCAAAAAATGTATGTCATATCTGTGTCTTGTGTATGTATCCGTGCTTCTTAGCTTCTATGTAATTTTTTATTTAATCAAATTTATCTATCCCTTGTAAGATTTTTTTTTTCTTTCTTTTAAAAGAATGCTTTTGGCCATGCCAAAAACGCTCCCACACAAATCTTTCAGTCCTCCATTGTCCTTAGATGCACTGCTTTGAAACTGGAATCTCAGTTTTTCTTTTCATTTGGTTCAATAATGCAGAGACTAGAGAGTAGCGTATTTTTACATTTGAATCTTTTGTTAAAGTTGTTTTCCAGCCCCACCAGCAGATACATGCAGACACAAACACATTTTTCTCGCTACCTAATCTTCTTTTTAAATACTGCTTGCATCCAGGTTGTAAAAGTCAACAGAACAACAGGACTCTTGAATGGATTCTGATGCTGTATCTGAAGCAAGCACATCTGTCATTTGTGATAACGTTAGTGACAGTATCACACGGGCATCCTTTAGTAGTGATGTGGCAAATGGCAGTGAAGTAATAACCAGGTTGGAATTGGATTTGGCACGGGTCTCGGAAAAGTTGGTTAACTTGAGTGTTTTCATGATGCATATTGCTACACGGGAGAGTGAGCTTGAAGCTTCTGCTTCAGAGAATGATCATATGTTTGCCGGTTCTGTCGAAAAAGCTCTGGAAATTGACCTCCTGGCTGGATTCTTAGATTCAGAGGTGGATGGGGTGGACAGTTTCTTGGCTAGGATACAAAATGATCTTTTTCATGCTCACGAGCTGATACCTTTCTTCAAACACTCCGAAGAAACTTCCATGTATTTAGAAGAAAAGCTGAAAGATTCTGAAGAGTATTTAAGGCAATCACATGATCAGATCTCTGAAATTAGAACGCAGTCAGCAAAGTTGCAGAAGAGCTTGTGCTGTTATAATAGTAAGTTCACAACCTGATTGATTACATCACCATAACCATTACTATCACCGTGCTTATAAAAAAGTTGGCTAAATATATGTTTTAGGTGTTTTTTCTTTCTTTCCTTTCTTTTCTTTTTTTAATTTTTAATTTTTTAAAATTTGGCCCCTTTATTTTTTAAAAGATTTGAATTTTTCATTCATTAAATCTTTACAATACTAAGTACTAAAAGAATGACGATAAATGAACTTAAAAATAGTAATTTTTATAAGTTCGGTGGACGGTAGTATACAAACATTTTAATAGATCGATTTTCTATGACAATGAACGGGCTGCGGGTCAAGTAAGTTTCCACGTACTAAATCATATGAAATGAGTAAGCTTTTAATTTAATGGGCTAGTGCTGTTTCTATTTCGTCAAATTACAGCTAGTTAAAATGTAGAGTACTTTTAACTCAATCAGTAAAAATGACATTAAATCATTATTTTTTTTCAATTAATTTTAATGTTTTCTGGCAACAAAGATTTAATGAAAACAAAATTTCAATGAATTGAAACTTTTGAAAGATTAGAGACCAAATTGAATAAACATTCAAGACATTAAGGACCAAAAACATATATTTAGTCCTACAGTTTTTTATGATGTTCCATGAATCAACTTTGCAATGGAGAGCCAGCT